ATTCAAAAATAAAAAAAAATTTTGAGATAAAAAATTAAATTTTTTTAAATTAATTATTATTTTTTTATTTTTTAAACTAAACAAATATTTTTTCTTACTTTAAATTTATCATTATCTATTTACTTTCAGTAATTATTTTATCACAAAATTTTTTTTCCTTTTGTTAGTTTTTTAAAGTAATATATTAATAAATTTAAAAATTAATTTCAAATATTTAATTCAAAAATAAAAAAAAATTTTGAGATAAAAAAATAAAAAAACTTAAACTAAATTTCACACTCCCACTTTTTTTTCCCTATTTAGTTACTTGATTGACCTCCGTTGGTTCACATTTGTCAGGTCACTTTCATTGTCTTTTGGAATACACTTTCTTCTGCAATTGTCTCTGTTGTTATTATTATTATTATTATTAGTTAAAATCCACAATTAAGAATAAACCCCATCTGAAACAACTTGCTCTAATCCAGTGGTATGAATCTTAGTTTAGGATCGTTTATCTTTTATGAGTGATGTGTTTAAATTTTACGAATTTCATTTTTCCTTCTCTCATTTAATTAATATATATAATTAATTTTAATTTAGTCAAAAAAAAAAAAGAATAAACCCCATCAGTGACATTTTTTATTTTGAATTGCTTAAAAGGTCAATTAATTATAAATTTAAAAAAATAAATTTCCAACCTTAAAGTACTAAGTTTAAATTCCCTTCCCCAAATTTGTACCTATTAAAAAAATATCTTTTGTTTCATACTTATTTCAATAATAATTTAGAATGAATTATATTAATGATTGTCATTTTTAATCCATATTCATAATTTTTTTTAAAAGATTCCGTACAAATAACTTTTTAATTAATCGCATTTGGGCCTTTTCAAATCCAATGACATTAAGTCACGTATAAGTGCATTCCTCCATTTTCAAAGTAATGGTTCGAATCTGATCTCTTGAGAATTTGTTCAAAAAAAAAATGAATATTACAACTTTTTAAAGATTTTTAATTAAAAATATAACTTTTGTGATTTTTTAATTAAGGCTATAATAAAAAATTGTACTCTTAATTAAGAACTTTTAAAAAATAGTAGTTTTAACTAATAAAAATATTATATTTTTAATTAAAAACATTTTAAAAGGTAAATCCTTATTTGTATGAAAACTCTAATGAGAAATGACAGATATTTTTGAATATATAGAGTACGTTCAAGTCTTATTTTCAAAATTTTAGCTTCCATGTGCCTAAGAGAAGGATCACATTAATTAGACTACTTAACAAAGTGAAATATAATATGGGCTTGAACCGGGAGATTTTAATTTTTTAATGAACTAAAGTAATGTAGGAAATATGTTTTTAAAATTATTTAAAGATAAATTTGTCTTAAAGTACATATAGATTTGCTTGAGCATAGTTTGATTATCCAAAAAAAGATCATAGGCTTGGTTTGTTGCTTCAATGAAAGCAAAACTTTACAACAACCATACGAACAATCAAGAAGAATGGAGAAAATTATTGGGAGCATTCCATTAAAGTTAATTAATAGTGGTTGAAATGCAGATGGTGGATGCCGTATATGAAAGAAAAGCCTTAAAAAGTTTATAGACTTGACAGATTCAATCTTAGCCACCAAAAACTACATGCTAATATTGGAGAATAATTGTAGGAATTGAATTTCATTCCCCCCTGATTGGCTGTTTCCTTCCTTACAACAGAAAACAATTGAAGAAAGAAAGAAACTTCGAAATGTGCTGACCAACAAATAGATTAATATGGATTTTAATTACCACCCAGGAACTTTGTGATTAATTCATTGAAACCCCTGTCCTTGACCATTGTTGCTGCCACCATCCCATAACCAACACAACATCCTGTTGAAATCCCCATCATCCCATAACTCCCATTGATCATCGGAGCATTGAAGATGATGATGATCACCAAACCCTGAAAGACCCCAATCAACCCATTCCTCATCAAACCTTGACACAGATGAAGAAGAACAAATATTCCACTCCCCCGTAGTTGTAGTAGTACTGCTCTCTGCATTTGAGCTCAAATTGACACCATCTTCATTACCACTACCTTTTATTGTCATTTTCTCTTGTGCCATGACCTCTGTGTCTCTTCCCTCAGTTATGTCTCTGGCCCCATTTTCTCCCTTCGTGTTAAAGACACTATCCCCACTTTGATTCATACCTTCTTCTCTCTGCAAAAGACCACTTAGCCTCTCTATTTCACTATCCAGCCATTCATCTGGTCCCAAAACCTCACTTTCTGCTTTGCTTTTATACGCCTCTTCATAATTCGTGGAACAAACACCAATGTCAAGTTTTCTTTTATTACCTTCTGCTCCTCCAAAATTAGGGTCCCCAGTCTCTAAATTTGTCACCATATTGCTTTCCTCAAAAAGGGCATTTTCTTGGGTTTTGGGTTGAAGCACATCATCCCCTCCAGTCTTCAACCTCTTCCCCAGTGACATTAATGCCAACGTTTGTTTCTTCATGGCTGATCTACTGGTTCTACCGCCTCTTCGCTTGCTTGCTACGGCTATTTCGACAGCATCAATATCACTAGGGGAGGTGCTATTTATGGTCTTGGAGAAGCAGTAAATTTTTCGGCTCAAATGAGAGTTCCAATAATTCTTGATCTCATTATCTGTTCTTCCTGGCAACTGTGCAGCTATCAGAGACCACCTACACAGCATGTAGCAGAAACTGATTAAATCCAAATCCATAACAAGAAACTGATGGAAATAACATGGTTTATTTAGAAGCTGGATTTTATTTTTACCCCTTCAGATTAATTTGCATCCAACAGATTTAAGACATTCACCCCAAACCAAGGACAAGGCATGCCACCAGCCTAGTGGGGACTTACATAGATACTTACATTAAATGTGGAAAAAAAAAAGGGAAAATAAGAAGGTAAAAGAAACCACTATGTCCCTCTATCACTTGCTGGGTTGCTCCTCAAAGTATAGTCAACAGTTCTATATGTTCATTTTCACTGTGAACTTTTCACAAACAAAAGAAAAACTTGATTTCCTGGGTTTTTTTATATGCATTGGCCATAGAGAAAAACAGGAAAATAAGAAGGATCAGATCATGCATATACCTGTTACCCAATGCAGTATGCAACTTCACAATGGTGTCTTCTTCTTCAGCAGTGATGTTTCCTCTCTTGAGGTCAGCTCTCAAGTAGTTTATCCATCTCAGCCTACAACTCTTCCCACACCTCAACAAACCTTCAAAACACACCCAAATTACCTAATTAGGGGTTAAACAAACAAAAACCCATTTGCAATTTATTGTTTTTGTTTTTGAAATTGGGAAATAAGCTAGTGCTTGGCTATTGTTAAAGTTTAGAACACATTAAGTTTAGCCCCAAATTAAGTTTTTGCAGATAGTAAATACGAACTCAGTTAAGCTCTATACATTACTTTTGCTATATGGAGATATACCTGCATTCTTGGGTAATGCCCTCCATGAGCCTTCCCCATTTTCTTGAATGTACTTGGTCAATATCTCATCCTCCTCCGCCGTCCACCGCCCTCTCTTCAAGCCCACCTTCTGGCAGCACGGAGATCTTCCCATAAGTGTCGACTACGTATAGCTTCAGCTCCACGGAAGCTAGCTAGATCGAAGAATTAGGAAAGAGAGAAGGAATAACTATGCGTTAGTGCAGAGTTGTAAGAAGATGAAGAGAGCCATAAAGAGGTTAAATAAGAGAGAAATGATGGAGACGTATGAGCGGTGAAGCATATGAGTTTGCTTAACAGAGGTCACCGAATCATGTAGCTGTGTTACATCCACCTAAAAACCTTAAATAGTATACATGTTTTTTTATCAAGGCTTTCCGTCAATTACACATTCTTTCATATTAATTTTTCATCAAATAATATAAAGAGTGTAATACTGCTCACACACGTTAGTTTAATGCATATCTATGACATTTATAGCCTTTATCTAGCTCTAAAATTTTTAAATAACAGTTAACAAAAGCTTCTTTTTAGTATACTTGCTATTTTTAAATAATACTTACTATTTAATTTGTTTATTTTAGGATAACAATTTTAAGTTTTTTAAGTGTTAATTTTAAACTTTAAATTTTAAAATTTGTTAATAAAACAATACTTACTTATAATTAATAAATTCATAGACTAATAATTTAATAATTGTTAGGTATAAAATTTATCTTCTTTTTTTTTTTGGAATGTTGCTTGAGTAAATAGTAGTACTATTTTAAGTAAGTTTAGATACATTTAAAAGACAACGAAAAAACTACACACCCATCACCTCTATAAGAATCAAATATTTGTTAATAAACTAGGGAAGAAACTACCTTGATTAATGGGTCATTATTCTAATTTAGTTTAACAGTACACGACCATGGCCATATTAAGTGAGTTAACATTGTTTGTCCAAGGAGTTCTGAATCCTTGCCATCAATTAGTCTTTGGTATGGTGAAGAGAAAACCAAGAGATTGCTGGGTAGTTTTTTTTTGTCTTGAGTTACACAATGAAAAATAATCATTTTACATCTTTTAACCCCACCTCACACATATGTTATATTTATATAATTGAAATTCAAAATTTTTTAAATTTCATAGGAAAAAAAACATTATTAATTTATTAAGTTCGTTGATAGAGATTGTTGAATTTTAAATGCATAAATCATTTTTAAGAGATGTTTAAATGTTAAGAATTTAAACATTTATATTAAAAATTTTAAATTTAACTGACAAGTAAAAATATGTTTAAAAAACTTGTTTAAATTAGCTGTTCAAAAAAAAGTAAAATATAGGGGTCATCGTCTGTACGGAGGAATATTGATGCTGACCCATAAATAGAACAATCGGTATAGGAATGCGCCACATGGTCTCTTATGTAGACCATATGATTCAAAGTTCGACTCTTTATAGTCTCCTCTTTATTAATTAAGATTATGATGTTAATACTACTTTGATTAAAATTCAAACAAATACAAAGTACGGTTGAGTAGGTCTATGTCTTTTTCAATGAAGTTGAAATTTCAAGAAGTTTAGTCGGTTAAGTACGGTTCCCATACGACAAGTTTTAAATGGAGTAATTGATTATTTCCTACATAATGTTTTTCATCGTACTCGAGTTGGAGTTTTTCTCATTCTCCCATCCCTCCACAATGTAACTCTGTAAAAAAAAAAAACATATGGATTCTCATATTGTCGTGTAAATAATTTTATGATGCAATACAATTTCTCATGTTCAAAACAAAAAATCTATGATGCAATATTTAAAGGTTGATCGATATTTGTGGACTTGTAAGATTTTTGTAAGATTTTTTTTATCTTAAATTACATAATATAAAGTATTTATTTCTTATATTTTAATTTATTTTATTTATTTATTATACAATTTAAATTTAAAATTTTTTATTTTTATTAAAAAAATTTACTATTAAATTATTTAAATCATTAAAATTTACCGATAAAATTAATTGTGCTAAAAATTTAAATCCACATGTTATACAATAAGGAGTGACTTCTTCTATAATCCCTTCTTATCTATCTCATGAATATTTGAATATTTGAATATTTGAATATGAAACGTCAAGTAACAGAAAAACCCATGCTCATTAACTATTTGAGACGCCTTCTTTAAGGCCTTGAATCATGACAAACTGGAGGAAAACTTGCATACGTGTGCTTCAACCCCCTCAAAAGGGTCTCAGCGCAAGGATCCTGATAATTTGATTTGAGGTTTCAATAACTATATTTTTATTAATATTACCTCGCGATTTTTGTTAAAAACACTATTAAGTTTATTAGAAGTTGATTTCAAGTGGCTGGAGTAAAACTTTTATCTTTAAATTTTTTTTTAATTTTTTTCATATAAAATTACTTATATATTTTTACATTTCAATATTATAACAAAAGAAAAGTAAAAGCGGCATTTTTAGTTTTTATTTTTTTTAACACAATTTATAATATATAAACTTTTCTTCTCATATTTTTTCAAAATAAAAAAAAATTTCCCCCAACTCTCTTTATATAGGACCCATTTAATAACTTTTTCCCTGTACCAATTTCTAATAAGATATAGAATAATTAATAACCCAACAAAACTCCAACAAAACTTCACCATAAAATTTATTAACTTTCCATATAATATTTTCTTAATAAAAACTTTCCTAATAAAATTGGTTCTCTAAACAAACATACGCTTAATGTCTAGGAGACTAGAATGTTAGTTTTAAGTTTGTTTTGTTATTTTAAAGTACAGTACTTGATAAACTTTCTAAAATTTTACATTACTTAAATTTTATAATTTAACACTTTAATGAAGAGCTTAATTTTTCCTATAAAAAAATGAAAAACTTTATTCATATGTCAATTTTACAAACAGAAAAACTAAAAAATAGAAGACTTACATTTTATCAATAATTAAAAGTAGTGCACTTTATTTACAACAATTCCAAACTTAGTTGAACTCTTTTTAATCTTCCCCATTATTGTAGGTGATACTTAAATTTTAAGTTCTCGATACAACTAGTAAAAGATTTCACAAATTTTATTTTATGCATTTAAATAAAATGAGTTTAGGGCCCGCTGGGTGGCACACAACTCATTCATTGGATTACCATTCGCAGAGGATTCAATACTGTGGTCCGATGTCCATGTATTCCACAATGTAGATTTTCTTTTTGCCCTTTTTCGTGAGAGAATTGATAGGTTGTTTGTTTAGGTTTAGTTGAAGGAGCAAAAGATCCCAGGAATATGGCCAACCTGACAAGAACAAAACGAACCCAAAATTTAATTTCAACCCCTAATGCTGCTTTTTTTTTTTTTTTTACTCAACCATCAACCAAGTCACTTGAAAGCGCTTGATACTAGGAGAGAAAATAGTGCTAATTATAGAGTTGAACTTGAAACTCTATTCAACATGTAGTTTGAGGTAATGAAAGATTCAAGATTTAGATCTCCACAATGTATATATATATTTTTCGGTATAAAATAGAAAAAAGAATCTCTTCTTAAAAGGTGTCTTAAGTGATTAATAATTTAAGATTTTAAATTAAAAATTTTGAATTTGAATTTCGAGACAAATGAGAAGAAATAAGGGAAGGGAATGATTACCTTTATTGTATAGGCTAGCTATCATTTGATATATCAAGAAAAATAAAAGAAAGAAAATGCATAGAATTAGTCATTGATAAACCTAAGATGAACAATAAAGTTAGCAATAGTCTCATTTTCAATAGTCTCATTTCAATACTCTAAATTAATGTGAGTTATTTCTATTTTAAAGTTTATTTTTTCAATTTAAGATATGACATAAATTGATTTCTACTTAGCGTAGAACCTAAAACTTCTAACATGTCAAGTTTTTATTAGTTAAGAATATTGCTGACTCGACATTTTATTGCACAAAAGAATATCTTCTTATCGAGCAAGGTAGTTGAGGAGATTGATTGTTTTTCTCAAGCACAAAGATTGGGGATGTGAAAGAAAGAGAGAGAAAAGCAGAGTGGTAAGGGAATGTATCAATGCATTATGTATCCATGGCCTCCATGTCTATGATATACGTGTTATATCAACATCAGATAAAAGGTATGACCATTACTGAATGTTGGTGAAATGAAAATTGATTGTGAATTTATTACCAATAGCCACTGGCCAACTTTCCAAGTAAGTTGGTCACATGCATATTCAAGGCCAATTCCTCCTAGGAATTTCACGTTTTCTTGGGTTGGTTGAAGATTTCAAGTCTCCCCTTTTTGTTTAGGTTAAGTTATACAATAATAAATAATTTTTTTTATCTCATAATCTATCTCATTAGTAAGATATATATACAATTTAAATTCAAAACTTTTTATTTTCACAAAAAAATACTATTAAATTATTTAATTCGTTAACATCATAAGTTTCTATTTTTCTTAGTCTGGTTAGTAAAGGATTTTTTTTTTTTTTTTAGCAACAAGCTAGTTAGGAAAAAATTTACCTCTCACATTGTTAACCAATATCTGATTGTTGGGAAACGTCAGAGAAGATAATTTCCTCGTCTTTATCACGGTATTGAGTATTGACTTCTCGTTTCCGTTTTTCAACTAGAAATTTTTATGCTCATATATATATATATATATATATATATATATTTTCTTATGCTCCAATGGTTGAACTATATATATAAAATTCAAAAATATCTCTCTTTGGTGAAGTTCCTCCTCACCAAAACCATAAATAGAGCTACTAAAGATCAATTCCTACTGTCTTTTTTCTTTTTCTTTTTTTTGGTAGAAGATTGATCAATTCTACTGCCTTTGTAGAATTCAATGCTATTATGAGTTGACCATTCTTGCTGAAATGGAAGAGAGACGTGAAGATTTATCTTGGAGAAGCATGGTGTCCCTGAAACACTCGTGAAAAATCGGCATGGAAATCGGTGCTCACAACATTTTCTCTTCATCATCATCATCAAACATTAAAGCTATCCCCTGCAAATCATGGACTGGTAGAAATTCCTACTGAGAAACCCAGTCCGACATTTAAAACTATACCGTGGTCCAGTCATACGACAGAGACAGCAATAATATATGGTCACGGGAGATTAATAGGCTGCGTTTTTCTACCTTTATTTAAGCCTCTTTATTTGCCCAACAACCACTTATACTGACAAATGCTGACTGTGATAATCATTTCTGCCATTACAGAGCTATTTGGACCACTACATTATGCCCTAATCACAATTGTATATCTCTGGGAAAACACAACTCCTGGGACTGGGAACCGTCTGGATCAGATCGCCATGCATATGTTCCTTGACAAGAAATGCTGAGACCATAACATTTTACATCCATCCAGCAGCTGACAAGTAAAAGCTGTCCTTGATAAAATTGCAAGCCCATGTCCAGGTCTGGCAAAGCGGCAAAGCGGCAAAGCAGGGCCTTCCTCAATACATTAATTTATTGTTGCCATGGATGTACTAGTCAGCAGAAGATTGCACGACTATGAATACATTATTTGAGTGGTATTGTCGATCAGATAATGTTTCTAGCGTTTACCACTAATTCCAGCAGCTAACTCTTACGGTATAGGAGATAACAAGAATGGTTGTTGGTAATTCCTAGGGTATGATTGAAGGAATAAATGGAATAAATGCTATATTTCTTCATAAAGAAACATATCTGTTCAATGAAATTTACAACATAGACTGATTGACTGCACAAGTGTAAATAGTTTACTTCCCATATATACCTCGTCAAGTCTAGGCGTCGCAACTTTGCAAGCTCACCGGAGATCAACAACATCAAACTTTAACTTGGGATTCATAAAGACATGAGAACAGTGCTCATAGATGGAGCTTCCGTCTGATGTTTCTTCGTGGGGATGAAATCCTCGTTGTTGACAATTACGAATAACAGACACGCCACCCGGATCGGAGAGATGAAATATGCCATGTGGACTGCAGTAGGCAATATATCAGTTAGCTTGGGAAAAGATTGAATTATTAGAACAGAGAATGCACTATTTTGATACTTTAATCTGGAAACTAAACCAGGCAATTCCACAAGATGGTGGCTTTCTTTTTTTGGCCAAAAGATGGCTTTCTTGATCACAAATAGAATATTAAATTCAAACCTTAATTACCATTGATACTAAAAGACATGAAATAATATTTTAGAAGTATTTCGATTATCAGTAGCTAAAGTTAACTTCCAAGGAGTTGCATGTATAACTTTTTTCTCAAATAATATTGCATAACGTTGTATAAACTGGATTTTAAGTAATGGATGCCATGTTGAAACTAAGAATCTACCTGGATGCATCAGTTGGGGCCATAACAATTGCGATTGCTTCTGGTAACATAATCTATAAAAATAATACACAAATGCAAAGCTTTCAGTGTAATATAATATGCATTTAGGGGAAGTTAAGCAAGAGAACAATATGTGCTTCTAGACTGAATAACTAAGGAATTCATAAAGCCAGACTGCTGTCAATGCTTTGTAAAACAACACAAACCCTCTCTTTCTGAAAGGAAAGAAGGGGAAAAAACCTACTTATCACCCTTTTCAATATTTTATTCTAGTTTGCATCTCCAAGCAATCATTGTGGCTGGTTTTATGTGCTAATTATTACCCTTTTCAATATATTCATCAATAATTTTAAACATGATTAACAGGAAACTGGTCCAGGTTCAAACAGCCACAGAAATCCTTTTCACAATGTATTAAGAAGAACAGAGCGATAATATGAGTACCACAAAACAAATTTCAGTATTACATATTATATCCAACTTGCCACCAAAATCACTTTTAAAGATCTACCAACATACAACACCTTGGTAAAAATAATCTTGGAAACCACACTTCCTTACACTTAGAGAACAAGGAATTTGCTACTAGAAACAGAAGATAATGAAAGAAACCAGGATATGTAACTGGAATACTTCTTTTACCTGATATGAGTAATGAGTGTGCAGATCAACTGATGACATGAAGCAAGTCTGCGTTGGGTGTGTCTGAACAACGAAGTAAGAATCACAAAACATGTAAGTACATTTGAATAGATGAAACAGTTGCTACAAAAAGGCAGTAGCATGGCTAATATATAGATTTCTAGAAAATGAAGTTGAAGATCAAGCTCTAGTTAAAAAAAAAGTTCCAGAAAAACAATCCCAGTTTTTAACAAGTCAAGTGGCAAATTCTTGCCAAAGAATTCTTATTTGCAACATCCAATTTGAATATCAATGAGGAAGAGATGTAAAACATTGGGAGACAAGAAAAGGGAAAAGCCTAACCAAATTAAACTAAACAAGAAGCCATCATTGAAAATGTGTTGATCATTTATCATAACTACATAGAAGCCTATATTGGTATAGTTCAGCTAACAAAGATGCAAATGACAGAGGGATGGAATGCTTAACTGTAACCATGTAACAAGATAATAAACCAACACAAAAGCAGCAAAGTTAGTATTTTTCAGAGAACTTGCCACCTTAATTGTCTTATAGAATCAATTTAGTAGTAAACTAAAACCATCCAATATCTAAGGAAACCCCCAACCCAAAAAAATCCCTATCATTTCACTAATTGCTACCAAGAACAATACAAAAAGAAGGAAAAAGAAGAAATGGATTAGAAACCGCCATGTACAGAGAAATGTAGCATGACTTTAAAAAGTTTGGTTTTCCCATTCTAGGCTTCATTTTCCCATTAACAGATGAGCAAAAAAGGGGAAATTTTGTCTGCTGGTGCATACATGCATGTGTACCAAATTGCCAAAAAAATTCAAGGCCCATAAACTTACATGAATCCACCCCAGTGGGAAAAGAGATAATCTGTCTTGAACTTCAAAAATTTCTTCTTCATTTAATGTTGAACACTGAACAATAAAAATTTGTTTAGTACCATTAAATAAAATGATCACAGGATAGCTGATTGCTGAGAGAGAGAGAGAGAGAGAGAGAGAGAGATTAAAAGGATATTATTCCATACCGAATCTGATGTTGATTCCTGCTTTGGGATTATAAGTGTAGTGATGTGGAAAACCCTGTTTTTCTGCATATATAAAATCAAATGTGTATAAACAACCACATGCCACAACTTTCAGAACTATCACCTTTTCCTATCAAATACAACTCTTCAGTTTGAAATTTTTGTGCCCTTACCAATGAACCGGCAAGAACACCACATGTTTCCAAATTCTTTTCTGTATTTGCCCGAGCCAATCTCAAGAAATCCTCCAGCATAGTTACTGGCTGCATTGTAAGAAGATTGAAAGTTAAAAGAAAGTACCACCATACTTGAAACTTAAATGACAACAAGAACACAACTACACCAGCTGAAGGCCAACTTTTTGATGATCACGTAATGTCATCAAGATATAAGAGGGAAACAAATCATACAGATGACATACCAAATGCAAATGTTGATAAGAGTTAGTGCTGGGTGGTCCATTTTGAGCATGCTTTGCTGGACCAGGTCTTGGATCTGCAACTTTTGATGGAGAAATAGGAGCATAATCCTGCTGCACTTCAGCGAGAACAGGAGGTGGCAAAGGTTGTTTGATACTGACAAACTGGAAAGGATCCTCCCTTGCTTCATTAATCAAGGGGGGGCATAATTCTTCAAAAGGACACGACCATGGACCATCATCTAAGGAGAGCACTGACTCCATAGTTGAAGAAATACCCCCCAGATCACCATCTTTCGGTGCCAGAGTATTAAATTGTCCAGCCTGATTCAGGCTATAACCAGTTGTGACACCAAAAGAAAAATGTTAAAGAAAATAGAGTAAAGTGAGAGAAGCATTAAAAGTCTCAATGGACACTCTATATTGAATTTTTAGGATACTATAAGGAAAAGGTTGCATGAAGACAAATAGAATAAACAACGTCGAAGTCTAAAGATGAATATATTAATTTTCCAGCAAGTGCTACCTTGAATTTTCAGCAGGCATCAAGTCCATATTGCTTGGATAATGAACCTGTGTCCCACAACAGAATCATTTATTTGATGCAACTTTTGAAATTACGCACACAAAAAGATAAGACACAGGTAAGGACTAAAGATGTCTGGAAATTATTTTACTTTTATCTCCATGCTTGGTCCATGCCACTGGCCTTGAAGACCATTAGGGCCTAAAATTGAGTGTCTAGATAATGTTTCTTTGTTTGGAGGAGGCAGGTTAAGAGACCTGAGCATGTCCAGGAACAAATATTTTATGTTAGCACAATACACAAACTATTTGAAGTTAATTTTAAATACCAATATCTTAAAAAAAATTAAAAAAAAAAAAAAAAAGGTTACAAATATCTTGACCTCCACCTCTTAAACAGCCAGCAAGACAGGCATTAATAAGAAATTTAAACGATTCAAGGCTCAAATAGAAAAGCAAATAGAAAAGTACTTTATGGGGTTTATCAAAGGAAGGATCTAGGCATTTAGCAGATGAACTGTGGCTTGCTGCAAGACAAAGCTACTAAAAGTGCCACTTTTAGAATCTTTTGTACTCACAAGGAGTAAACCTAGTGGCATCCCTACAAAGTTCTACGAAATTAAAGTTAAAGGTTATATTTTTAGAGCTTTCAGCCTTCTATGAAGTATTAAGGGGAGGGTTGCTCAAAGGCTTGCCAGCATGGTTGACAATCTTAGGGAGTTCTCTTGACAGTTAATAGTTGTTTCTAAGCAGTCCAGAATGGTATAAATGATGTAAAATAGATTAAAGGCTGGAGATGATGAAAACTTTTTCAAGAAAAAGTGACCTTCTAGAGCTCTACTTTTCTCATTAAAAAAATAAATTACCACGATTTCTGTAGACTTACTCAATGCTACAGACATGTAACTTCTATTATGGCAAAAAAATAAGAGATATCAAAAGACACCTAGCCATAATACATCCAACGCAAGCACCCACAGCTTTCTTAGATAAATAAGAAGATATCAACATAAAGTCTTAAAGCAGAACAAGATACACAGGAAAGGATCAAGCATGCATCAATTACACTAGAAAAAAATTAACTGATCCCATCTTTTTTTTCTTTTTTGGTTCTTGCAGCTTGCAAGGATGACATATAAAGTTCTCACATCTATAAATAACAAATGTATCATTAATAACAATAAATACATAACACTTACAACTTCCGGAACTGCTTGTCAAAATGGGCCATGTTTGCAAAATTAATTTGAGTGCGGTCATTATTATGCTTCCATGAAGACTGAATTGCAACATTGGCAGGCTGCAGCAACATTAAAAAGGAAAAGTAGAATTTAAAACCTAGAAGTTCATAACAAAACTAAGAAAACGAATTAAATTACTTCAATCTGAACACAATGACAAAAGCATCCATTCTACAATGAAACGAAACTAATAGCAGCAGTGTATCAGTGCACTCTTATTTGAAAGTTTCAAACAAATCATGACATATTACCTGCTTAATATCCATACTTGAAATAGTTCCTCTATTGACACCAGGCCATTCTAAATAAGATGGCGTAACCGAGCTGTGTGATGCCTTATCTTGGCAATCTTGTTCAAGCAGTTGAGCCCCTGCATGAGCTCTATGCAGTTCATCCACTTGACAGAGAAACTCTGGTTTCAAAGATTCAAGCTCATCAAGTACAGCTAACAGTCTCTGCAAATGCAGAAATCACAGTCAAAACATAAATAAATAACCGGTGCTGCAAAATATCACAGAGCAACAAGGACAACAATTACAGCTCTAAGCTCACCTTCTTGTAAGTTACTTTCTCCTTCAGTAACAATGCTTGGTAATCCCGATGGAATGGTATAGTTTCAGACACCAAACTAAGAAGAAAATCAAGAAAAAAATTTTACTATTACAATGAATTCAGTAGCCTACAAAAAAAAGTGCCAGCTTTATGCTTTCCTCACCTTGAATATCTTAATAGTATTATGAACAAATCTACAATATTCTTTTCCTCTCGATAAATATTTGCCTGCAAATAAAAGAAAGAAGCTCTAAGCACAACTGAAAACAAACAGTGAAAGCTGGCTTGCAGCTGATGGTCAGTGATGAAGCCAGAAATCCCTTCCACGTCCAGGGGAGACAACAGTCACACTGAAATGCTTGCCATTTCTTAAAAAACAAACATTGAAAGAATGAACAGACATTCATAACAAAACCAACACGCATAATCACGACCTTGTCCATCCACATTAACCTTATATTTCAGATGCCCAACTCTCAATACCTATTCGAGCGATTACAGAGCCAATGGGATAACAATTAACCAGAATTCACAATCATTAGCAATTTCAAGGTAAACATAAAAAATGCAAACAATTCAGCTATAGAAACATCGAACCGGAGATTTCTAAAGCAAACACAGCTCTAACATAAACTCTTTCAAACAGCACAGTTCATGATGAAATCAAAATTGATATTTAAGCTAAATTCATCAACTGCGAGGACCAAAATACGATTGAAATTGCGATTAGAACCTGTTTGAGGAGATTATCGGCAATTCGGTAGTAATAACGGATAGGAATCCGATTATCGACATCGACTTTTCGAGCGATTGTATTGACGTTGATCCGCATCTTCACCTCCTCCTCCTTCACCTCCGGCTACTGAATCGAAGTATCTCTCGAACTCAGATCAACTTCTCCGGCGATTGAGACGAATCTCTCTATTTCTCGGTATTAGAAAACGAATCAATGCCTGAACTTGCGAGCGAAGGAAGGAGGACGAAGGTGCAGAGAAAACAGTGATTCTGTACAATCGGGAATAGTTTATTCCTACATTATAAGACCAATAGTATTGTGACACGTAAGAGTTAAGCGTTCTCATGTCAACCGTGAAGTCAATGACTACAAGACTTTCTTTGGTGACCGGAAAGTGGTTCTTTATAGAAAAGATTAATTAATGGTTCGGGGGTCCCTGTACTATTCCTAATGTTCAATTTCGTTCTTAAAGTTTCGAAACTTCTGAATTCATCCTAGTTCAATTTAAAATAGAAATATTTCTTATTTAAATTCTACCCTGTTACATATATATGGTATGAAAAAGTATATCATAGTCTGAACTGTACTAAACTGCATTATATTAATTATTGAATATGGGTAAATCCCTTAATATTGAGGATTGTCTTTTATCTAATAGTTTTAATTTTATAGTTTAATATAGTTTGGATTATAAAATAAAATTTCCTATGTAATAAACTCTTTTTTTTACTTTTCTTTTTCTTTTTCAAATAGCAAAATTGTACAACAAAAGTGTAGCGCACACCATTTATATCAAACTAATGCATTTAAGTAAATTAATTTCCTTAAATGCTAATCTTAAAACTTAAACTTGAATTGAGTATATATATATATTTATGACGATATTTGTTTACCAGTGTATCCAATCTTGGGGTTTGGATGCAACTATTTAAACCTAAGGACGCTGCCTCCTTTAGTCAATAGGTGAGACCATCACTTTTTCTAAAACTTTGTCAACAAATAAGAAAGATACGAAATAATGTTGCTATTAGGTAGTTTTTTTTAGGTAAACTATTGTCATAAAGATGAGGTTATCATTCATTGTGGAGAGACTTGCAACACATCATCTCTTATCACAATTTTTATCAATTATGTGTCCTTCTTTTCGGTATATAGTTTTATCAATTTGATTTCACTAATGATCTTATTTGTTAGGAGGTTGGGTTTTTCATAATGGTTTAATTCATTCATGTTGTCTTTTCATTGATTTTCTTCTTCACTCATTTTTATATAGAAAAATAACGATTGATTTTCTTGCTTGTATAGCTACTACATTGCCAAATCTGTTCAGATGATCAGAGATCACTAATCAACTTATTAACACATTCCTTAATTATATATGCAGGATTTGAATTCTGGCACAACCTATAGTTATTCATCTAAGAACTTATGCTGTCAGGAGATCTTTCCAAAATATGTATTCACTTTCATCTCTTCATTGCATTGCAGATAAACAAAAAACAATACGCTTCATTTACATTTTCCAGAAAGAGTGGCACAAACCAATGTAGTTTTGGCAATTTTTTATGCTTTAGTATGCCCTCTGCAAGCTATCTTGTGAGTCCACCAGATCCTGTGTTGAAGGTGTGATGCGGGACAGGTTAGGGGGATATGGTGGGCTTGGGGATTTAGAGGCTGTTTAGGCAAATATATGCTGTGAATAGGATGCGTGAATAATGAAGTAGTGTCTATTTAGCATAGAAAAGAGGAAGAAATAGAAAATAAATAATGAGAAATATGGAAAATACTAGAAGTTACACTTAGTTTTATTTAGGCATCACACTTAAAAGAGAATAAAATCCTTAAGCATCACACCTAAAGTTAGTTGCATCACACAACCAAAATTGTATCACACGAGAGCAAAAACTTGTTGAAAAATTCTGAATAAATTAATTGAATGTCTAAAGAAACTTACAAACATATATATAAACTATTAAAACTCCTAATAGAACTCCTAATTAGAAGTTCTAATCCAATTAGGACTTAGACAAAAATTAAATAGTTTTAAGAATAATATTAATAATAATAAACTACTAATAAAAGATTTAATTAAGCTCCCAACTAAGCTTCTCATCATTGACCATGTGCCAAACTAAAGCATGGGCTTTGGAAAGAACTTTGGCTCGCTTTTGTAAACCTTTGGGGTTGCTGCCAGGTGCCCCATCAAGATGATTCTATATCAGGCATCAGAATACATGGAGGATGAGCTTGGATCGTGTCAATCTCAATCATCTCTCCTGGATCTTCCATTTTTTCAGGAAGTTTCCATTGTCGAACCAGGAATGAAGATTTGATTGAGAAAGTCTATTGAAAACTTGTAATCCTGAAGAAGAATTAAACAAAGCTTTTATAAGCTTGCTTAGACCCTAGAAAGAATTTCAAATATGATTATGAAGAAGAACCCTTTTTGTTTTGGTACATTCGTTTTATTAACATGATTTCTTTTATAGGATTCTTAATTTAAACAAAAAAACTGTTTTTTCCGTCCAGACCAACTAAAATTTTTAGCCAGTTTGGAGCAAAAAACAGCAGATGTGTTATGCAGAAATACAATATAAAAAAGATTATATTATGTCACATAAATTTGGGATTATCAGATATCAGACTCAAGTCTCTCAGATTCATTAGGATAGGGTAAAAGAGTTTATTTGATATGTTACAATATGAAATCAAGATTCTTCATAAGAACAAAATCCTTCCTATGATCATTAATCCAAGAGAAACCGGAATTCGGGTTGCTGCCCTGTTTGCTCTGCTTCCCTCAGCTTCAATGTGCTCCAGAACATTAAAATCCCCTGCATGGAAAAGGCACCAGATTACAATATTTGATGGAAAACTAAAGGGATGGTCGGAGAATTTTCTGAAGGGAGTTTAGAGGAGAATAGGAGGCACCTCTCTGAGGGCCATATCCACATGCTGCCTGGATGGTGTCCCTGATATCCTGAATTGTGGCCCTATTATAGAACACAAAGTTTGTCATAATGTTCTCTATGCAGTTAAGCACCAGTTGTGTCTCGGTCAGGCATGGTCCGTTGCAGTACTGATTGGTGTAGTCCTGTGGCACGTTCAGGTTGCCAGTAGCCGTCAGCCTGTAAGATTCTGCACAGCTGCTATAAATCTGAAACATTCTCCATTACAAACCTGCAACAGATTCTCACAAAAAGAACATAGAGAATTGTATTCTTCTTCAATTCTTACACTTTTTTGATTAAAACACAGCAACGCCTTTGCAACAATTTGAGCCGGATCTACTGCTCCTCCACCAGTTTGAGGGACATCATCTGCCTTACCTGTCCAAGGAAGAAATTGTTACCGTCAAATGAATTAACAGAAGGGAGAGGAAAACTCTGATTTACATTTGGTATGTACCTAAGTAGAGGCAGAATGCAGACATGCATACTAAAATGCAAAGTCTTGCCAATGGGATTGCCATTTCAGAATATTGGAAACAGAAATTGAAGCTGAGATGATTATATAAGAAATTTATGGTTACCAACCTGAGGAACATTGATGGTCAGCACTCTAATTGAAAATTCCGGTATTAGCACGTAACCAGTGTGCTTACAATTAATGCAAAATTGTTAAGTCTTAATGTTTGGTATTGCTAAGTAATGGAAAAGGGAAATTCTTAGTGGGTTTATTGCCTTTTGCTTTCTGTTTTGTAAGGGTATTTTGGAGGAATTGTGAAGACTGGGATTGGAGAGAGCAGATGAAATACAAGTAACCAACTCCTACTACCAGATGCGGACTTTTCTTTACAAGTTTCAGAAATCAAACCTAAAAATGTGTCAGCTAGTGTTTATTCACTGTTTCTTTCATCACAAGTTACTGTATGGCATACTATCTGAAAATGACAGAAGCATTCTAATGGTGAAATGACAAAAGTCAAGGTGAACATTCTACACGAGGAAGATTTCTAGAAGCTAAGGCTACCTTTGTTAGGGTTTCCACCAACCTTTTTCTCATAACATAGTATCTAAAAATATACTGTATATTATCAACGACTTAAATAAATCAATAATCATCTTATTCTGTTAGAATTAAAAAGTCCTGACTTTGATGATTGTCTTTCATTGTATAACCAAGATTAAAAAAAATTTGTATATTTATAATTTTTAATTAATTTTTATGTACCTTTGCTAATTTAATTCCCAACATTTTATATATTTTTAAAATAGTAAAAAATGAAAAAAAAATATTGTTACAGTATAACATAATTTTGACAAAGCTTAAAACAATGGTAAGGTAACGTGTTGATGTTTGAGATAATCAAGCACAAGTGAAGTAAAACATGATCAAATGTGCACAGCAGTAAAAAGAATCTTATTTCGAATGATTCTCTGAACTTAGGCTTTTGACATTGAAGGTGGTAAATCTTGTTTGGACTGAGAGTCTGAGGGGAAGAGAATCAAATAAAAATAAAAATAAAAAAGACTCAAAAAGATCATTTAGAGGGCCCAAGACGCTTGAGATGGGCTAAGAGATCCAAACTAGGATAAAAATTAGTAAGACTTTCAAAATGGTGTTAAACTAATATGGGCCAAATTGGCTCATTATTAAATTTGTTAAGCCTTAAATTGGATATTAGTGAATAATGGTCGTTGATTAGTTAAATTCTTACCTTATTTATCACTACAAAAGAAAATGCGAGCTTATATTGACTATTGATCAGATTTACTCATTTACAAGAAGTAGCAAGAACAGGTGGTGTTTAGCTAAATTAATATCTCTTAACTAAAAAATTTTAATTTAATATTAATATTACGGATTCAAACCTGTTCAATACTAAATAACTACTATTAGTACAATAATTAATAATTATTTAAGAAATTAATTTAAATTTCTTATTAAATATTTATATTTATATTTAAAAATTAACTATATTAGAATATATAATCAATTTTCAAATATAAGTACTAACAATTAATGGTATAGATTTCTAAATTTTAAATTAAGATATTAGTTTCTAAATGTATGTTAGGACTTTAATTTTTTTGGGACTCAAGATTGATACTACTAACATCTTTTTATTTCATCTTTTTAGGATATTTTTTTTAATTCATGATAAATCTCAATTATTTATAATTAATAATATGTTTAGTTTGAAAGAAATGAGGGAGAGAAGAGGAATGGATTTTTTGACTAATAAAATTGTAATATTTAAAAATGTTATAATTTGATTGGTTAAAAATTCATCCTTTATCCCTCAAACCAAACAATACTATAAGAGATAAATATTTAAATTTTGATATAAATAATGTACATAAAAGCTATATGTAAGCCAATTCCTAATTAACTTTTACTCTTTATATCCCAAAATCACTAGCTTTTTTTATTTTTTTTCTCCAAATTAATGATTTGGAGACAATTTATGTATTCACCCAATATATTATTCTTTTAAAAAAAGTTAAAAGATAAATAGAGACTTTTGTAATAAAATAATTAATCAAAATAAATGAATACCGATAGAATTAAAATAAGAAAAAAAATATTAATCTACTATAAAAAAAACAATTAATTATAAATAAACTCAAAATTAAAAATGATAATTATTTTAAACAAGGGAATAAAAACTTAAGTTTTATTTACTATGATTGTAGCTTTTGTAAAGTTATAAAGAATAATTTCTTACCAAAAAGGGTTAGTTTTTTTGCTTGGAGACTTCTTTTAGACAGATTGCCAACCAAACTCAACCTGGGAAGGGGAGGCTTCCAACTGGAGGGAGGTGTTTAACAGTTGTGGGAAATGTGGAGAAGAAGTCGAGGATGAAGGGCACATCATGCTTTCTTGCAGGTTTGGCCATCAAGTATGGATGAAATGCTTCAGTTGGTGGGGATAAGTGGCTGTGCTTCCAAATACAGTTGAGAAGGCATAAAGCCAAGCGGCTTCAAGGTTCTTCAATTCAAGGAGACAGAAAGTTTGGTCCTTTTATCTTTATTGTCATCTCATGGTCACTTTGGAGTGCACAGAACAATTTCATTTTCAGAGCAGCAGAGGCATAAATGGAAAGCACGTTTCAAGCCATTCAAATTAGAACATTTCTATGGTTAAAAGGAAAAACAAAGGGATGTACATTTTCTTTACATGAATTGTCAAGTAGTTTTTTGGAGTGTACTAAAGCAATGAAGTATAGGATGTTGCAACGTTCAACCTTAAAACAGAAATCCTTATTTTGAGATTTTATGTTGATATGAAGTGAATTTGAGATACCTCTTGTATTTTTTTAATAATAACAATTTATTTAATTATTAAAAAAAGTTGTGGATTTTAGTTTTTAATTTTAATAATTATAAATTTTATAATTTTAAATGAAAAAATTCATTTATTTTTCCATTATATTAGACATTTGAGGGATAAATTTTTGTTTCTAATTATTTTTCGTTTTGTGCCAATCAAAATTTCTTTAATTTATCTTTTCACTTTTACCTTTTAATAAAAGTTTAATGACTCCAAATTATCTCATTTTAAAAAGGAGAAAAAAAGAAAAAAAAACCTCTCTCCCTCCCTCCATTTCGTATACTGTACTTTTTGGACTTACAAATTTTGGAAAACTCTTCTAAATGGGTAAACCAGCAAGCAATAGCAATGGATCTTGGATTTGATCTAAACAAACATGCAATACCCATAAGTTTTTGTAGAGGAAAAATTGCATAAGTAAAAATTTTTTGCTGTACTAATTTTAAGCGGTTGCTCTTGCAATGCAAAGAAAGGGGATAGATTAGGAAATTAGAAACAAAGGATAGAGGTAGAGAATTTTTCATTATAAGGGTTCTAGCCTATGAGTTTTTGGTTTGGTCATTTGGGTAGTTTGCTGGAAGTAGAAAAGAAAAAAAACAAAAATACATGTAACTAGGACGGTAGAACCAAGCTTTGCACCTAGTTTGAAATTTTTTTTTTTTTTTTACAGAGGAAATGGTTAAATTAATAGATTAGTGTTTCTTACGAAAGAAATTGAACATAAGATTAAGAGCGCATTCCGCTGGCTGTCTTTTTTACTAATAGTGGCCATTATTGAGCCACAACAGGAAAGTGAAGAAGAGAATGTCAGGGTGAACTCAGTCATGTTAGCCAATGTGCTCGATGTCTTGAGATCGGATCCGGCTTCACGGCTCACCCATGTCACACTCCAAACTGGCACCAAACACTACATGGGTCCAATCTTTGATCCGAACCATTCTTGCCATCTCAAATCCCACGACCCACCTTTCCATGAAGATTTGCCCCGCTTACCATACCCAAATTTTTACTACGCCTTGGAAGACCTAGTTGCCTCATACTCGCCTTCGTTTTCATATTCTGTGCATCGTTCCTCAATCATAATCGGCGCGTCTTCAAGAAGTGTTTACAACGCGCTACTTACACTCGCTGTTTATGCAACAGTCTGTCGACACGAGGGCTTACCATTTCGATATCCGGGTACCCGATACACATGGGAGCATTTTTGTGACATTTCAGATGCGCGTGTGCTAGCGGAGCAACAAATATGGGCTGCAGTTACACCTCATGCCAAGAATCAAGCATTTAATTGCACAAATGGTGATGTATTCACATGGAAGAGCTTGTGGAAGGTGTTGTGCGATGTATTTGAGGTTGAATTCGTGGCATTTGATGAGAATGAGGAATTTGATTTTGTGGGGATGATGCAAGAGAAAGGAAAAATATGGGATGAAATTGTGGAGAAACATGGGCTATACAAGACCAAATTGGAAGATATTACTTGTTCTGCTGCCCTTAACCATGTGTTGCATTTTGGGTTTCAACATGTTTGTAGCATGAACAAAAGTCGTGAGTATGGATTCTTTGGCTACGCAAATACCCTCAAGAGTTTGGGGATGTGGGTGGGTAGATTGAGAAAAATGAATATTATTCCTTGATTAAGTATGAAGTTTTATGTTTGGTGCTAAATAAACTTATACCCTCAAGAGTTTGGGGATGTGGGTGGGTAGATTGAGAAAAATGAATACTATTCCTTGATTAAGTATGAAGTTCCTGTTTGATGCTAAATAAACTTCATGTTTATTATTATTATTATATTATTATTTTTATTTTTATTTTTAATTGTTCAAATTTTTGAGGAATCGCATCACTCTGCTCAACTCGGGGTACTTTTTGTTTTACCTACTTTTTATATATCTTTGTTTTTAATGCCCAAATTTGTGGTTTCTGAATTGACTAGCATATAGAGGGATTTCTTATGGGGTGGGGCTGAGTTAAAGAGGAAGATTTCACAAGTTAAGTAAGAGTATGTGTGTTATAGTAAGGCGAAGGGAGGGTTGGGGGTGTTGGATTTGAGTAAGAGGAATTGAGCATTATTAGGGAAGTAATGGTCTAGATTTGTTGATGGTGTGGAGAATTTATGGAAAAAGGTAATAAGAGAAAAATATTATGGGGTAGGAAGGAGGTAGATATTACTACAGTGGAAAATTGGAAGGTGTCTAGAGTATAGAGGGATGTCATTAGGATAGGTGGGATTTCTATGAGGTTAAGGGAGATGTTGGTGAAGGGGTTTAGAAAGGGTGTCGATGATAGACAAAGGGTTGGATTTTGGAGAGATATTTGGGTGGGTGATAAGCCCTTAAGTGAATTATGTCCTAGATTGTTTGCTTTGAGTGCTAACAAAGAGAGTGTGGTTAGTAAGATAGGGGTTTGTGAGGGGGATAGGTGGTGTTGGCATGTAGAACAGAGAAAGGGTAGAATGGGACGAGAGAGGTATGAGGAGGAGTTGTTATGGGAGGTGTTGGGTAGGGTTTGACTAAAGGCAAGAGTGGAAGATTGTTTGAGGTGGGTGCATGACCCTAAAGGAAGATATGTAGTGAAGAAGGCCTATGAGTTTTTAGCTCTTAGGGAAGGTGTTCTTCAAGATCAGTTTTGCAAGTTGGTTTGGTGCAAATTAGTGCCTTCAAAGGTGGCTTTTTTTGGGTAGAGATTATGTCTTGATAGACTTCCAACTAAGTTGAATTTACAAAAAAGAGGGGTGACTTTGCACAGGGAGGGGTTATTGTGTAGTTTGTGTAGTGAGTGGGTGGAGGAAGTAAACCATTATTTTGTACATGTAAGGAAGCTTGGTTAGTTTGGGCAAAGGTGTTGAATTGGTGGGTATGGACGCTGTCTTGCCAAATACAGTGGGGGAAGTTGCAGAGTTTTTTCGGTATAGCTTGGGTTGGATAGTTGGGAAGGAGATGGGTGCTTGTATTTTTCTTATTGCTTCTTGGTATTTGTGGTATTGGAGGAATGCTTGTGTGTTTCAGAATACTGGGCGTTATAGGGAGAGAATGTTGGATATGGTACAGGTTAAGTCATTTATTTGGATTAAGAATAAGCTATCTAGTTGTGTTTTCTCATTTTATGAATGAAAGGTTGATCCAGTTGTTTGTGCTTTCGTGGTGAGAAGGCACAAAATTCAATTGAAGATGTATCTGAAGCAGCAACAAGCTCATGTTTAATGTGTCAACTGGAGGTCTGATTTCTATTTTGGTTGTCAGAATTGTATAGCTAATGTGTATGATTTTTTGGTTGGTTTCTATTGTGATTATTTAAACTTTATATTTGTAGATTAGTTGGAGTACTCCTTGTACTCCATATAATAAATTATTTCATTTTACTGACAAAAATATATACACACTTATATATATATATATTATTGTCACTTAAGCTAGACTCTTACTATTCTAACACACAAGTCAAGTTAGAACATTTAATCATACAATGAAAATTCACATACACATACTTTATCTTTTACCCACAAGGACTTTTTTGGTATTATCCACACCTGAGCATTTGCTTCCACCCCTTTAAAGATCACCCCCTGTTTTCTCAAACCGCACAAATGCCAAGTGGCCAAGATGAACGAAAGAGACCAAACAGCTTTTGTCCTTTCATGCTCCCAGCCCTGAGTGCGTTGCCAAGAAGCATCCTTTCAAACTACCACATACTACCGTATGAATGCCCCACCAAGCTAAAATCTTCATCCACGAATTGTAAGAAAAAGAACACTTTGCAAACACGTGGTCTGCATCTTCCCTATCTTTCCCGCAAAAAGAGCATGCGGTGTTAATCACCATCAACTGTAATCCCTCTCAAATTAACTCAAATTCCTCTTTGTTGGCAGCCTGTCCAAAGATAGTCTCCAACCAAAAAAACTCACCTTTCTAGCAAGAAATTTATTTCAAATTGCTTTGCAAAAAATATCATCCAAAATTCTTCCATCTGAATTCAACATCTCATAAGTTGTTTTTGGCATATACACCTTCATATTTATTATTGTTAAGTTGTGTAAGTTGTTGGCACAGTTCTCTATAATATGTGGTGAGATGAATTTTTATATATTTCTATTTATTATTTATCTTGATTTTATTAATTTCTATATAACAATACTATAGTTATAATATCATTTAAAATTATAAACTTAATATTATAATATGTCATTAAATAAGTATAATATATCATTACACAAATATATATATTATATCATGAATAAATTTATAAATAAAAAATTAATTATATAATTATATATTATGTTATCAATTTATAATATTATATAATATCATATTTAATAGCATTTTCTATATTTGTATCATTGTCTGAGTTGAATGTGATTTTGTTCGGATTCTACTCCGGTCATGACCTTCTGATCCATGGGCCCGTAGTCGTTAGCATCTCAGATCAACGTATGGCGACCAATATGGGTTGTGGGCTGATGGCTTTTTGAATGGGCTTACGGTTGGTTTGTGCCTTTGTGGGTTGCTAATGGGCTGCAATAGTGGGTCATGAGTGCATTTGAGCCCGCCTTTTCGAGTCCATTTCATTTACTTTCTGCTCTTTTGCACTTTAGTCCAATTTTTATTGATCTTCTTCATTTGTTTACGATTTTGCTATTTATTCTCCTCCTGTTTCACCACGA